ATATTTATAGCGCGAAACAAAGCGAATTGATACACTACCAGAACTTGATGCTCCAAATTGCGAATAAATCAAAATTAAAAATAATTAAAAAGCAGAGCTCCTAATGTATTAAAAACAGGATGCTCTGCAATATAATTTTCGAGTGGAAAATAATTGCTCGAAACTAATTGCTATTGCGAAAAGCAGGAAAATCTCACCCGACTCTGCCACAAAATGGCGTAATGCGCGGTCCAAATTGCTGACAGTTCCTAGAGCAGGAGCGGCAGGAGGTCGTTTGCTCGAAAAATTGGTCATATTTCTGTTGCGTGTGGTTAGTGTGTACCGTCATCTGTTTTTACAGCTGTCATAAAACCGCACACAATAACAGCAGTAAAGTAGGAAGTTTTTAAAGCCAAGCAGACGTCGCCTCATGCTATATAAGAGTCTTATATATATAGAGAGATATGAAGTAAAATAAAATAATACATATATGTATATACAACGTATATGTATAATTTAATGCAATGTCCTGGCATATAATTAAATTTTTTGTGATTTAAAAAAGGATTCACTGCAGCAGGCGGCGACGAGACAATCGCTTGCTCTAAAAATGCCACAAATAGATATATCTTGCAATGTATGTGTGTGTGTGTGTCTATGTAAATTATAAAGCACAACAGCAACAACAACTATAATAACCAAGAGGAAAACTAGAGGAAAACTTTGCCGCTTTTATGACAAGAACCACTTGTAGGCGAGGCCACAAAGCTCAAGCGCGAGTTGCAAATTGTTTGGGTTTTTGTGTGCATGTGGCAGCAACAGAGCAACAAGCAGCAGCAACAGCAACAGCAACAGCAACAACTGCATACAGTTAACCGCAAATGACACAAAGCAGAGCCTAGTCCTGTGCCGACTCCTGGTGCTCGTCCTGGGGCCAAAAGATAGCGCGACACAAGTCAAAACAGTTGGCCACGCCATGTTGCAGGATCAGACAGTCGCGTTTAAATGATAATAGCAACAGGCAAAAACTTAATGATAATTATATACCCTAGCTGTCGGCAAAACATTGAGTTATTATATGGGCTCTATCTTAAGAGCTCAATTTACTGAATATATACAATACTAAGAAGAATAGGAGCTGCTCTTAAGTAGTACTAAAATTATATATGAAATTGGAGTTAATTGTCTTGAAAGTTGGGAAATCGAAGTATTCCAATATATCTAATTAAAGGGTTTGTTTCTACGATATTTCCAATAATGTAGAATATATAACAGGTGACTCTTGTAACATACATGTTCTATGATCAAGTGTTTCAGTGAATAGTCTTTTATATAAATATGTATGCCTCACCTGGCCTTGTTCTTATACAAGCTGCATAAGAGTATTGTAAGAGCACAATAAAAGTGTGTATATGTGTGTGTGTGTTTGTGTGTGTGTGTGTCTCTGTGCATGTATATGATAAGGCTTAAATAAACTCTTACTCTCCAGTGTCTTTTCTAGCTATGTGTTACTATGCAACAGCTCGCCTTCTAGTTTAACAGTGAATTAACATCGTGTCTGTTTTATGCATGTGCCCATTGTGAATTAGTTTCATTCGTTACCTTTACTTTACTCTGCATCTACTATTGTATGTAGCCTAGTTTCTGTGTGTCTCTTGTCTCACATCATGTTGCTTTATTATTTCAGTTATAGTCATACTGATTGTTTCATTTATGATTAGTATTTAACAATCAGCAAATATTTGATCGGTACTAAAATATTTTGAATGTATAACTAATAGGAATGGAACGACTACAACTTGCGCTGGAACGAAACGGAATATGGAGGCGTCAAAGATCTACGAATTACGCCCAACAAGCTGTGGAAGCCCGACGTGCTAATGTACAATAGGTAAGTGGGCCAAAGTACAGCTCGAATTTCGGACTTACTAATTCAATATAACAATGGATAAACGGATAAACAATAAACTATTAGAAATCAAAGTTACATTTTGATTATGCGCTCTATACTTAGTAATATACATCTTGAAAGTTCTCTAGGTATATAACATGAAATCGATATTCCAAAGACCCAAATATATCACAATCATATACTTTCCAACACTATATAATTCATATATTATAAATGCAATGGTAAGTGTGTATAACTGTTTTAGTTAAGCCCCAGCTAGAGGATAGCTATCAATCTCTTAAACTCAATATTTATCTAATATTTTATTCTAGCAAAGTTTTCGTTCCGAATTATATTATAAACTAATTTTATTGTAGTTGGTTTGTGCACTTTAGTTGGTAATGAAATATATATATTTATTGAGTTGCTTTCTTTTAATATTACAGCCAGTTCGAATTGTAGTCCATAGACTATAGATTGTTCAGCTATTACTTACTTATACCAATATTTTTAAGTTCCTGGACTATGGCCTTTCAACATGGAGCAATGGAATTTAAAGAAATGCATTACAAATGTCAAATTAATAAAATTATTTATGTATATGCCTAACCAAATGTATAGAACTGATAGAAATAAGGAGAAATACTAAATTATGTTCTTTTTCGCTATAAGAAAACTTGTGAAGAAGAAAAGTAAAATATATCTCAAACATATACGAATTATTTCCCGATTCATCAAGTAATCAATTCATAATTCAGCCTCATTGGTTATCTTCAAAAAATATTTAAGCATTTCAAAAGTAAATTCAAACTCACTAACTTCAATGACATTCTAATCAAGTGGTAACAGATACACTGTAGTATGTTCCGTTCGACCCAGTCTTTCAGTCCACTAGGAAAAGGTATATATACTTGAACTTGTTGTCTAGTGGAGGATAGAAAACTGCAACCTTTTGTTGGTTCAGGGAGACAATGTGTATTAACATAAGTATGATATTAAAAGTCAAGTATATGATAGCGTTGCCACTAACAATGAAAAGTATTGCCAGATCAACGCAAAGATACTCGCTTAAGATGTTTTTGTGTACGCAAATCAAGTATTAAGAACCAAACGATTCAATGCTCAGTAAATTTCCAATGCTCCAGCCAAACGAACTGCCCAATAATTAATACTCTGTATGATTTCCATTTCGTAATTATAGCTCACTTTTGTTTCTAGTTTACTTTTTGTTTGCTGAAAGCGTAAACATATGCTCTATGCAAATATATACATATGCAATATCCATAAATATCTATAGATAATCCCTGACCTGCTACTATAAACGTATCATAATCCCACTCGCTATTGTTTGTGTTTATGTCTATTATGAAAGGCAAAGCTAAAATCTAAACATAATCAACTATTTGTGTTTATTTCTATTTGTGTTCCAATGTTACCCAATAACCAAATTTTTAATTTGCTTTTAATGTTTTCTATGTGGAAAAGTCGACTAGACCTAAAAAATAAAACGAAAATATGTTTAATTTTATTTTAATGATAACAAGAAAAATCGTTGTTTACTTCGAATAAGAGTAGTTTACACGCAGTGGTATTCTAGTGGGACTGTACATTGTCAGCTTGCCGTTGATGTGGGCCTCACTTTGTAATTGGATTCGTAATGCTAACCGAAACAAATATATATATATGTCTATATATATATGCAATATWTATAATCTGTAACAGCTAATCAAATAATAACTAATTATAAAAACAAAACTTCAATTGATAAAAACGACCGAACTAAATAAAAGCTCAGACTAAACTCCTTGAACTCTAAACACATATTGTTTAACCAGAATATTATGCAAGTAGTTTGTTCGAAACAATCGAAAGTTCCCAAATCAAATACTTCCATAAAATCACATATATCCAATTCATGTGATCTGTTCCATATTCCATATTTATATATATATAATGTATAGTTAATGCATACGTAGTACATATATATATATATATATATATACTTAGTTTCCAAGCAAGCAAAAAAAAAAAAAAAAAAACATAGACAATAACCAACATATGAAATTGTTCAACAATATGCTGGTGTAATATTTCTGGTTAGACGTTCAGTACTTGAATTTATTTGGCCAAAACTTAAAAAAGTAAAAAAAAAAAAAAAACTCAATTGTCGAGAAAAGACAATAAATTTATTTGTATTTTTATGTATATAAATAAATTTTTATCTTTGTTTCTTAGGTTAATTTATATAGTATATGTTTTATAGAAAAAAAAAAAAAAAAACCAAATCAAAGGCAAAATAGATTTTCAAGTATTGTGCATGAGAAATCAAATCCCTCGTATTAAACAGCAACTAAATAAAAACGCATATATAAATAATACCAATCAACAAAACAAAAAATGAATATACTTATCGAATAACCTAACATCCATCCTAACCTTAACTAAATGTCAAGTGCCTCAACAAATCTCAATCTCTGTTGACACTTTAAACTATTGCCATTCCTACACCATTTTGTTCTTGCTAAACCCACATCCCCAACCGAACCACAACATACACCACACCACATTTAATATATATACTAACCAAACTATATATTAAAAAAAAAAAAAAAAAAAAAAAAAAAAAAAAACTAATTCATACTTAAACACTTACATTCATATTTAAGTCATTAACAAAATTTTAGTTTAGACTAAACTGAATTAACTTAAGCGCAACGACACCAAATCATATTACATTTAAAGGTGAACGTGAAATATCCCAGCAATATATTTTATTGATGTGATACGATATATATACATAGGAAAATATATACATAGGATTAAAATAATAATATAAGTTGCTCTGATTGCCGTTGGGTAGGTGAGCTTTCTTTATGAATTAAGGACTAATTTATTCCAGTATCTGAAATACCTTTCGAATAAATTCAATTCAGAAAATTGTTATCAGGAGGGAAAGGAAGCTAAAAAAAAATATTTATAAATATTATTCCAATTTAGTCTTACAATCAACTTCCTATACAAAAATAATATTTATATTTAATATAAATCGGATGTCAATATATTCCTCCTCTTTGAAGACAATATAAATCTGTCTCAATCTCTCTCTCTCTATGTATTTATATATCTCTATATATATCTCTCTCTTGCTCTCTCTTTCTTATCCTTATGTAGTAGACAACTCTATTCATTACTCCTCACATTCAACCTACCTTAAGTAAGCTTTGCTTTCGTGCCTGTTCATGGCTGAACTACAAATCAAATATTTGAGTAAAACGTGCTCAATTATATACTTCTGCATAAAGTTGGGCGTTTTTTATGCCCAATAGTTAGCTTGGTCCTATTTCGCTTTACTCTTGGGTTTCCCCCTATTTCTTCTTCTCTTTTTTGTTGGACAGCTCATCAAAGAATTGTACGCTGGATGCTTATATTCCAATCACGCTCGAGATACAGACAAACTTTTGCCTAATTCACGTATCAATCACTCAACAATAAGTTCACATTTTTGCGCTAAACTTTATTTTCATTTGCCGTCACTTAGCCCATCAACTCAAACATGCTTAAAGAACAAATAAACTCTCTATAATCCCAAATTAAAAAAAAAAAAAAAACCTAACTATATCTTACTTATATCTATGTGTATGTATGTGTGTACTGTATGTACGTGTGTGTGCTTAAATTATATACTTAGAAATAAAAACATCAACGTTAATTACGCCCTGCCACAAGACGTATGAAATACGTCCACGCAGTCAAACCGTTGCTAAGCTTATTCGGTTAGCAGATATTCCTTACTTCAGATATTCCTTATACACCTATTATGATATATATTTAATCTATATTATATATTATTATTGAATGAATTAAGCAGGAAAAACAATTCTTTCGCCAAGATATTTATTTAAATATAATAGTTTGATATTCTGCCAAATTCCTTGCTCTATAAATTTTAAAAGAGATTTCTTTAATATTTCCCTATAGCCTATCAGCAACGAGTTTCGTAACAATAATCACAGATACCAACTAAGCTACCCGTTCTTTTTAAAACGATGACAGGGCATCAGCGCAGTAACGATTAATTAAGAGTACTTTTTACGTATTTCTACGTATTTCCGATTGCAATCAGCATAATTATTCAGCTAAATGCAATTGATACGCCCCCACAATACACAATATTCTCGTTCTTTCCATTATCCAAATATATATAAATATTTGTGTGTGTATGAGTGCGTGTGTAAGTGTGAATGTGTGCTTACCTATTAACCAAATAATTAATTGTTATCATTGTTTATATGCGTGTGCTATTGTACGTTTTAGCTGTGTTTCACTGTGTCTATAGCTATCAATATTTTCATATCATGTCTTAGTCGATTGTTAAACAGTTAATACTAACCCATCCATAACCATATAAATAAATATATCTATATGCATACCCACATATATATATCTATTGTTATAACCAATTCCATATGCATTTATATTTMTGTTCGTGTGTGTGTGTGAGTGTATCTTTTATTTGTATATGTCTCCAGGCAATTGCGTTTAAAGATGCAGCCCACACAAACAACGAATATCCGAAGCAAAAGCCGAATCAATCTTATGACGGCTCATTAAGTCCATGTAAGCTAGTCTAAGTTTTGTTGTAAGCTCGGCTTAGTTGCATGTTGCAATGTAGTTTAAAGTTAAGCAATTTATACGTTAAACTATATCTATATACATATGTGTGTGTGTGCGAGTGTGTGCAAAATCACACAAACAAAGCTGAGTGACTTGTGGCTAAAAGTTTTTAGTGGTGACTTTTTCTGCGAACTTTACATATTTTTATATTTTTATCTATGTATGTAGGACATCAAATACTACGTACATAGGATATATATACTCCTATGATATGTCAGTTCATGATTCAGCTCTTGTAAGTTTACTCATACAAATTAGACATTCTTCCACTGCACTATGGGTCAAACGCCCGATTTTTTGGAAAAAAGTCTTATTTTCAAGTTGAA